CTTCAGTAAGGGGCCAAATTTATGACAAATTTCCTGTAAAATGCCCATAAAGCTTTGCCCAAATGGCTGTGCAATATCTACACTTCTTATCAACTTAGATCAGTTTGCAATCAGTATATTTCTAACAGTGAGTACAAGATGCTTTGCAAGTGCATGTGGAAAATACTAGAAAATAAAAATGTGCCAGCAAAATATGTGGGTACTGCTGTAGTGATCAGGGCAGAGGACGAAAAGAGAGGGCAGCAAGAGACTCCAGAAACGAGAGCATGTTCCCAGCTGAGCTGAGGAAAGCAGAGATGTTGGAGGGGAGGTCGGAGGCTTCATGTGAAGAGCAGTTCTGTAGCCCCAGGTTATTCCAGCAGCTGGCACCTGTGGAAATATGACCTTAGGTTTGAGTTAGAATCATTTTTGTCAATAGTGCTGCCTGATAAATCCCATGAAACCTCAGGAGAGCCCAGGGGTGTTTGTAGTGATGCCCTGGGTGCTGTGCTGCTGCTCTGGGAAGGTTTTTCTGTTGGATGGGTTTGCTCTGCTGGGGCTGCCCGGATCCCAGAGCTCAGGAGGACCTTGGCTCTCATCTCTTGGTGGCTGCTTTGGGCAGCTCAGAGGAGCAAACTGTGCAGTCCAGAGGAACAAACTGTGCAGTCCAGAGGAACAAACTGCGCATCCCAGAGGAACAAACTGCGCATCCCAGAGGAACAAACTGTGCATCCCAGAGGAACAAACTGTGCATCCCAGAGGAACAAACTGTGCAGCCCAGAGAAACAAACTGTGCATCCCAGAGGAACAAACTGTGCATCCCAGAGGAACAAACTGTGCAGCCCAGAGAAAGAAACTGTGCAGCCCAGAGAAACAAACTATGCAGCCCAGAGCAAGTGTGCTGCCTCGGGCATTTTGTGTTGGAACTCCCTCCCCATGCTGTATGAAAAGCTTTTGCAGTTGTCATTTCTCTTCTGTGAGTGCTGTAATCAAGCTGCTGCTCCTGAAAATGCAGAATCCTGCTTTTCATCCCTGCTGTGTCTGTGCTCACCTCTCCAGGCCGGAGCTTTGGGCAGTCCCTGCTCAGGAGCTCCTGGCTGCTGCACGTGCTCCTTCAGTTCTGTCAGTGCATTTTGTTATTCCCAGTCTTGTGCAGGTTGGGTCTTCTCAGCAGTGCAAGGAGCAATAATATTATAATAATATAATTTTATTATTATAATATCATTTTATAGTAATAGTATATATTATATAATATAATATATATTATAATATATTATATACTATATTAATATATTATTATATATAATACAATGATTAATATATATTATATATTCTAACAATATAATAGCATATTAATAATATTAATAATATATTATATAATATATAATTATATAAAATATATATAATTAACTGTATTATATGATTGTAATATATTACTAATATATAATGACTACATATTATGTATCATATAAAATATAATATATAAAATATATTAATGTATTATACAATACCTTATATACTATATATAATATATTTTAATTATATTATTATAGCTATATTATTATTATAATTTTATATAATATATAATTCATGTTATCATATATAATATAAATAATAATATATTAATGAATAGTAACATATACAATATGCATAAGTATATAATAATATATTGCAATAAATAATATAATTTTAATATTACTTCACAATGATAATAATGGGGGAAGAAAGTTATTTTTTGACTTTATTATTATTAAAAGTGGCCCAAATCTGTTGAGTAACACTGGTGTAAAGCCTGGGAGCTGCAGGAGCACGAGTGTTTCTGTAATCTCCTAAAAACACCCCCACACAGTCTGGAGCTCTGAACCAGAGCTGCAACAGAATTCATGTCAAATTCAAATTAAAACAAATGGGGCTCGTAGTTAACACATCATGATTGAGAATCCTTTTGCCTTTGCAGTCCTCTTTAATACCTGCAGTGAATCTGGCTCTTTGCTAAGGCCAGTCAGAATAAATTGCCAATTATTTGGTTTTTTTTCATGTCTCCACACATTTGCTCTCTCTTAAATGCTTGGGGCCAACTTGGAGAAGAAACAATGAGGAAGGAAATTACTTGTTCCAGATGAAACTCCTGTCCTTGTGTACAATGCAAGAGATCTAAAAGAGAAATAATGATTATGTGTTTTATTTCTGCTGACAGAAATGTTGGAAATGAGTTTTTAGTTTTCAAACTTTAGGCAAGTTCTGTCTTTGTGTCCATAAATTGCTGTGGGTGGTGTAAAAAAGGCAAATGGAGGAGGTAGCTGCTCCTGTGTGAAGAACTGCAGCCAGAGCTATAGGGAAAAACTGAAATTCCTGTTGAATTTTATTTATCAGTTTTAATCAAGGCTCCTTGAAAATGCAGTTTTTTGTCCTATTCCTACTTAACCCCCTGAAGATTTAATTCAGCTGCACTGCTGAGATCAGACCTCACATGAATTTTACTTTGAGGAGTTAAAAATCTCATTGCTCTGTCCTACAGCTTCCTTAATTATGTGTTTTATGTTGTATATTCTGGCATCCCAGCCCAGGCTGGGTTTTGGCAGTTGCAGTAATTAGCAGGTAGAGCAGCTCACTCAGCAAAAAAGTAGAAGGCTGCATAAACATTCATGAAGTATTGAAGGATTTTTGTCTTTTTTAATAAACTCTGCCAACCCTTACTTTTAATGAAAATTGAAGAATATTGTAATTTTTCTACACTTAAATATTCTAAGATATTCACTAGTCATGGGTCTGCAGTCACTGCCATTAAAAGTTTCAGAGCAACTTGATATATATTCATTTGGACAAAGCATAATCACAGACCTTTGATTTTGAAGGTAAATTTAATACAGAGCTAACAACAAATCAATGAATAAGCATGGCTAGCATAAGAAGCACAAAGAAAAACAATTATGCTGTACAGTTTAGAGAAAATTCTGGCCTTGGATGTGAGTGGGAATTGAGAGGAGCTAATTTGCTTATTTGTTTTGCAGGAGCTCAGTTGTTTCAGGCTTTTAGATGGAATGTAATTAAAAGTGGTATTTCAGAGGCTGGGATGGTTCCTGCACTTGTTCTGCTCCTTTTCCCCTTACCCTGGAGAGAACTCTATGGATGTGTTGTGCAGTGTGTATGGATTGGTTGAAGTCAGGCTGATGTATAATTCAGATTATCAAATAGTTATTTTAATGATCAGCTTGTAGAAATTGGGACCAGGTAGTGTTTTAGGTGTGCTCTTACATCAGATCTGGGTTGAGTGAATAAATCTGAATGTAACAGAACCAGGACAGAACAGCTTTATCCTTAATAGTCTGTTTTTAAACTTGAACACTTGAGAGCTTGAACGTGCATTTAACCCCTGCACTTTGTGTGAGTCAGAGGTTTTTTACCATAATGTAATTTTTTTGCATAAAGTAATGATCTTCCCATTCTCAGATGGGGGAATTTATATTAGTGTGGATTCTGGGAGATGTGCATGAAATGTCCACCTACCTGCTGAGTCTAACCTGTATTTCAGTTTGGGGTTATAACACAGATATGGGAACAGAAAGAGACTTTCATCAATAGTTTTGTAACCTTTCAGTTCTCTGACCTCTATTTCTCATGCTGCTGAATGCTGCTGTCTACTGTTATCCACAGGCTGAAATGCAAAGGAATGTAAAGACTCAAATATATAAAAAGAAGTAATTTTTCTACCCAGATTTCCATAATGCACCATAAAGTCCAGCAATTTAAAAGCTGTGAGTTAGCTTGGATATGAAAAAGGGAAAATAAAAAATTTAGCAGAAGTAAAATTCAGCTGTTAAGAAATGTTAAACCATTGAGTTCCACTGCATGGTTATCCCCCCTTCATTCTTCCCTTGTGTCAGCTGAAGACCATCCGTGCTATTGATTGTATAGATATTTTTTTTCCAAAGATTTAGTCAATCATGAAGCCAGGAGGCAGCACATAAAATATTTTCCCTGTGCTGCAATATCGAACTTTTTGCTGTTCAGTGTCATCAGATGCATTGATTAAATGGTTGATTAAATTGATCTGTTTCCACTTGAGAGAAGCCTTCAGCTGTCCCAGCAGCCGTCACTCAGCACGTCTGGATGCTGGAGATGGCACCAGCACTGCACAGGATGGCTCCTGCAAGTTGTAGGAGCAGCAGGATTGGCATCAGCTTTGCCTAAAGGTGTAAGAGATACTCCAGGGTGGACGGTCTGGGACATGGCAGAGACTTCTACAGTCGAGTTAGATGTTGGTAGTTTATTTCAGGGTGTGGGAGAGAGAGCCTTGCTAGGAGCCAGCAGATAGAGCTCAAAGCAGGCTCAGAGGGAACAATACAAAAGGGGGTAAAATATGAATATATCAGTTCAAGATTTGAGATAGCTAAGAAAGAGAGTAACAGAACAGAAGTGAGAGAGCTGGAAAAAGAGGCAAGAGCGTAGGAAAGCGAGGCAAGAGAGTAGCAAGAAGAAGAGAAGGAAAAAGAGTGACAAGAGAGCATAGCAAGAGAGGCAAGAGAGAGCAAGCTCTCTTTTACAATTACTTATATAACCTATACATTTGAATCTTCTATTCCTTCACTAACCAATCTTTCTAAGTACACTAATACAGTAACATTTGTGTGTGACCTATAGAAATGGCTGCTTTTGCATATTTTTAGTTATCTCAGGGGTACTTCAGACTTTTTTTTATAAGGCTGGGGAGAGGGGTCTCAGCTGAGTTTTACTGGGGGACAGAATGTGTTCTGGCACACCAGCCTGGTTTCTTTGAATTATTCAAATCGTGCTTTCATTTGTATTTCTTCCTTAGCCTTTCTGGCTAAAGACTCATATTTATAATTCCTTTCTAATTCTACCTTCCCAACATAAAGGAGCATCACCCCATGGCAGGTGGCGTTGTGTGCCCTGCCGCGCTCCGAGACGTGGCTCTCACTTTGTGCCACTTGTCCTTTCATTGCTTTCTGGAGCCTCCTTTCTGTTGTACTGATGCAATTTTCTCTTCCTGCTGCTCGCAGAGGGTGACGAGACAGGAGTGATGGACAGTCTGCTGGAGGCCTTGCAGTCGGGAGCGGCTTTCAGAGACCGCAGGAAACGAACGCCGCGAGCGCAAGGTAAGGGAACGGCTGCGAGCTCCGCGCTCCCAACCCGGCGGGCTCAAGTTGTCTGGCAAAGATTTGCCAGCAGTTCCCACTGGAAGCCACTGGGCTGCTGCTGGGCACTGAGCTCCTGTGAAGCCCAGCACGGTCTGTGTCAGCACATTTTTAACCTGCAGCTCTGTCTCCAGGTTATTGTGTGCTCTAAGGGCTCCTCTTGTGTTTGAAATGACATTTAAACATCCCTGCACTAAGTGTGCTCAGTTCTTACAACTGTGAGTACAATTAACTCATTGTAGGCTGTGCCATGAGGAATATTTGCTTCTGAACAGGTAAAGCTGTGAGTTCAGCTGATCATCCTTTCCAAGCCCTGCTCTTGGGTGTGTTCTGCTTTGGTAGGAACTCGCAGTATTTGGAGTCTAAACAGTAAAAATACATTAAGACAGCTTTGTTTTCCTGAGCAAGACAATAATATTGAACTGAACTTTGTCCAGTTTACTGAGCAGTTGCTTCTTCCTCCAAAGCTGATTTTGGGAAATTTTGAGAAGTTAATCTAGTGTTTCCTTTATTTGCTTCTCTGTTTGTGATACTCCAGTGGCACAGTTTGTAAAATGCATTTATTCTTTGACTTTTCATCAAAGCTCATGGTAACTGGTTTTTTTCAATTTTTCATTTGAAACATGTCTTACAGTAAAAAATGCACTCTTCAGAATCTACAGTTGAAGTTATTTGGCATAAAGTCAAAAGCTTGGTTTGGATATGTTTGACAAAAGAGTCATAAATAAGCCATGCTTACCCTCCTGATCCTCACTGAGCTGGGCTTAGGTTCGTGTTGGCTGATGTTTTTTAGAGGAACGAAAGAGTAAAGGCAAATTCTATTACCCTCTTTAATAGGAAAGGTAGTGCATAATTATTTTGAATTTGCCATATCATTTGCATCATCTTATGAAAAAAATAAAAATAAGTCCATACAATGAAGTAAATTCTACAATTCCAGTATCATTCTTAATTCAGGGCTTGTTTCTGCTCTCAGATCAGATGTGAAAGAACTCCTCGATCAAAATTTGGGGTTTTCCCTATCTTGAGAAATGTCATTTTGAGAGATGGATTATCTGTGCTGTGACTTGAGGAGGTATTGGTCACCAAGTGGTGACAAAGCAAAGCTTCCCAGGGACCAGAGGAGATTGCACAAAATCTGCTGCAGCTGAGGAAAGCGAGAAGATGACAACCTGAGTCAAAACCAGGGACTCCTCAGCAAAAATAGGGGACAGAGCTAATTAAAAATCCCTTTGACTGATTTTTTGGTTTATGTAGTTACTTTGACTTCTGTGTTCGGAATTTCATTGAGTCAGGTGATATTCCAGTGATGCCTGGCTTTTAAATGTCAGGAGCTGATTGACTTTGGAGAGCTCACTGTGAGAAAAGGACAGGGTCTTCCAGTTCCAAACTCTGGCCAACTGTAAGTGCTGTATAAGAGAAGAAGGCCAGGAGGTAAAATTTTCAGGGGTAGCTAAAAATTGAGACTAGGAGGCAATAAATGTTAGTCCCAGTCCAGTACCTCATGTAAACTTCCATGGAAATTTTCTCACGTGGTTTAGAACCACACGTGACATCTCGTGAGTAACTTGTCCACAAGCCCAAAAGGTGCCTAAAAATGTGGCTGTGACATTTCTGAGCAGCAGAACCACAGCTTGGAAAACCTGGAACCACATTTACAATCAATTTACAAACTTTAACATCTCTCCTTCAGAAGGAACAACAACAGTTCCCTCTTGGTGCCCCTCTGTCCTGCAGAGCTCCAGCCAGTGAGATTGGAATAAACAATTAACTCCACGCCTCCTCTGGTTCAGTGGGAGGGGGGAAAAAGGAAATAAAAGGCATGGAAAGAAGAGTTGGGGGATTTCTGGGCTTGCTGGGTCATGTGGTTGATTGGCAATTGTACAGCAAATGGAATAATTCAGTGGGCAGTGCACCTTGCGGGGGTTTCTGCACATTCCTAGAGCTGAACTGCTCTGGAATCAGCCCAGGTTTGAGACACTCATGGGATAAAAAACAATAAAGGTGCTGCTATTTCCAAAGTTAGACTTGTCCAGCAAAGTCTTGGGTTTGAACTTGTCTTGGTTACACATTATGGTCTGAGAGGAAAATCTGTTGTTTTCTGCCTGTTTGGACACAATCTCATTTTTCTGTTCAGTTGTGGTAGCTTAGCAAGGAGAAACAACAACTCCTGCTTGCTTATTTTTGTAGTTTTGCTAATTCCTTGGTAAAAAGGGCAAAAAAACCTTCTCCAAACCCCTACAAAACCCACAAAATAAATCTTTGAACCAGAACCACTCCACAGTGCAGGAAATTCACTCCTGTACATTTTTCATGTGTTACTCTAGATCTGTCTTTTTCCAAACTTCCTTATTCTGTTTGCATCTTCTCACAGTGAAAATTAAAACAAGAGAGGTTTCACACCCTCATAGTGGCTGCAACCAGAAAATCATGGAAATTTAGCTTGTGTTGTGTTTCCTCCCAGTGGTTTCCCAAAAGGAAATTTAACTCAAAAGGAATGAACTGTAGTATCACTACGAGTGGCATTTTTGATCAGATTGGCTCAAACCCCACAACTGCAAAAAAAAAAAGCCCAAAACCACCCTGTGTGTGTTCCCTGCTGGCTTTAGGTGAGTGGGTTTAACATGGGAGGGGTGAATTCATTTGGATAACAGAGCTCCAGTTACTACAGGCTTACAACCAGCCCAAACAAGTGTCATTCCTCCTCTTCAACCTGCCTTTTTCACACAGGTTGCTGCTGTACCTTGTGGAATGTTTGTGCTAACATGGTCATGTCTATAAAATATTTCCAGTCAGATTCAGGCTGGGTAAGAGGTGGAGAAGGGAAGGGAGTGCTGCTCTGTTCCCCTGGAGCTCAGGGGCTCCACACTGCACTGGGGAAAAAATCAAATGGTGAAAGGTAGGGGCAGGTTCAGAAAAACAAAACCCATTTCAAATATGTTTAACTGCGTTACGTTTGCTGAGCCTGGAAATGAAAAGCTACACTTTAATGGGTTGCATTACAACCCCAGACTTTTCCAGTAAAAATGGTTTTGTTACCAGGTCATAGAAGTAATAATAATAAATTCCTGCCCCCCTCTTCTAGTTTTATTCTACTCTTATGTGTTCTTTCTTCTGTAGACCTCTCAGTGTGCAAAAATATTGTGTGGTTTCTCTCTCCTGAGCTCATTACTCCACCTTTATTGTTTCTATGCACTGGATTTTAGGGAGGGAGATTGTCCTTTCAGTGGATTGCTTTGCTTATAGAGCCTATAAAATAATAATTAGAAATCAGTTTCTAGAGGTGTTGGTTCCTCTTCCAAAAATAAACTTGCATTTTGCAAGTTTGCCAATATTGGTAGAATGAAGAGCAGCGTTGGGTGGCATTTATCACATTAAAATCTGCACCCAGCACTACTGCTGCACAATAATCCCTGCCCTTTTCCCTGGCCCTGGGGTATGAAATTATTGAAAGACAACCAATTCAGGAATATTTTTTTCTCTAAATGAGCTTAAGCAAATTTCTGCACAGAGCCAACTATTCTAAGATTTTTTTTTTTTCTATTAAGTTTCTAAGTTTTTTGCAGTGGAATTTAATTTCTTTAAGAAATGTTAATAAGCAGTGCCCTCTCCCATATGCACAAACTCTGGTGCCCTCCCTGATGCTCTGGGCTGTGATTTCTGTTATTTCTGTGATTTCTGTGGCTCTCACTGCTCTTGCAGTGCTGCAAGGGACACAGATCAAGGTTCTCCTGCTTTGGATCTCAGGGTATTTAGTGAGGATTTCCCGTCCTCTCTTAGCACACATTTTGGATTAGTTTTGAATTCCTGCATCAAAATCAGATCAGTTGCTGCTCTGTCATTATTTCCATGCTAAGAATATGCCTTGAGAGGGAGAGGGAGACAATGAACCTCCCTGCTTCAGTCTCAGCACCTGATTTGTGCCTTTGGTGGAGCCATCTGAAGGGCTTCCACTCCTTGTTTAACATTTGCAAGAGAAAAAAAGAGTTCTGGTAATAATGTTCCTATTTTTTAATGATTTTTTTGATAATTTTCACATGGCATTCAGACATTTTAATTTAAAATATGGGTTTGTTTAAGGAGGTGGGTGTTTTACATTGCATCAGAATTCTAATAAAAGGTTATTGTTGTAGGAATATTGTGTCTTCTGCTTGGAGATACAGCTGTGCCTAAAGACTCACTCTTGCTTGTCTACCTTGACCTTTACACTGATTATATTAAATAAAATCTGGAGTCTTCATTGGGTTTCTGGGTGCACAATCCTCATTTACCTGAACCACATTCAAATAAAAACCTTCAGTCGAAGCAAATTTGCTTCCCTGAAAGCATTGTCAGTCATTCTGGATGTGACAGTTGTCTAAATAAGCTGGGTTTTGATATGCTTGCATCTGTGAATTGGTGAGAATATTATAAATGTTAAAGTGTGAGGAGGTGGGAGGTGCACTGAGTTTGTGCTCAATAAAATATCTTTCAGAGGAACAGATCCTTAACATTAAATACCTGTTACAAAGCTGGAAATATCCATAATGGATTATAAAAATTTAGTCTCAAGTTTAAAAATCAGTTTGTATTTTAAACCTCATCTTTTCAAAGATTTTTTTTTTACTTTCAGGAGCTGAGATTTTAAAAGCATGTTTGCTATCCAGTTGTGTAATGGAGGATTTTTGTTTACAGTCGGGTGTTGTGGACTAATGAGACTCACACATGATCCAAGTGCTTCAAAATTACCACATTTGTAATAGCAGGAGCTCAACAAGATCACCAATAATAAATTTACTCATTTTGCCATCATTGTGTTATTGTAGATTTAAGTTTGCTTTTATTTCTCAATATAAACACAGGCACCATTCAAATCAAATCTCAGCAAATTACCTGAGTCCTGAGAGCTCCATAAACACTCCCAAAGCTGTTTAAAAATAGGTATTTGTGGCATAATCTATTTTTACTGTGTCTGCATTTTG